TCTTCAGCCCAGCTCTCAAGGCCCTGTGTGAGCCCAGAGCTCTAGGTAGGTGGGAGGAGGGTGGATAGAGTGTGATGACCCTGTGGCTCTTTCCAGGATGTTGCTGGAAGCCGCACCTGTTGGAAGCCCCCCAGCATCTTGGTGCCTGGGAACTAAAATTTAGGTGTGATGGGGCTATACCACTTCTGGGGTGTCAAGGGTGCTGGGTGCATCTCAAAGGTCCTGAGCATTGAAATCAATGAGTCTCAAGTCCAAACCCAGTCCTGCTGGGTGGCCTTGAGCTGATCACAGCTGTTCTGAGCCTCTGCTTCCTTTGCTGTAAGGTGGGATGCCCAGCCTGGCTTTGGAGGGCTGTGAGAGGATCCCGAGAGGAAGAGGCCTCTGTTCAATCCACTGCCTCTTGCCCTGTGCACCCACCTTCAGTGTGGCCTGGAGCCCTGAAGATCAATGCTGCTGGCCATGGACACAGGCCAAAAGCTGGTCTGAATGACCCTGGGGACAAGGACAGGGACCTGCAGATGCTCTTGCACCAACTCTGCCAGCTGCAGGCCAAGTACGAGCTGTCCAAGCCCTGCTGTCCTCTGCCCCAGACTTTACCCCAGTGGCCCAGGAGTGACTGTGATGGAGCAAAACTGCCTTGAGAGGGGGCCAGGCCAAAGAGAGTAGACAAGACAGATGCTAAGCCTGGAAGCAAATCCAGGCATGAGGTGGCTGTGGAATAGGCAAGAGGCGTGGCCATCATAGTTTGGTCTCAGTTCACCTTTGAGCTCACAGCAGGAGCCATTCCTAGGCCCACTGGGGCTACTCGTCCTCATCCAGAAGGAGGGCCTGTAGGTGGCCATCCCTACACCCATCAGCGTGATGCCTCTGAGGTCAGTCTGCATTTCTGTGGCCCTGGCTGAGTGGAGACCCTGGGTCCTCAACCCACTTGGATGGGACTTAAATTACTGGCCACACGTAAAAGTCTGAAACCATTGTAAAAGGATGTGTGTAGCTTTATGAAGCAAGGTCTAGCCCTGTAATCAGGACCGGTATACAATCCCAGGAAGGGCAGTGCTGCTGTGGCCCATAACTCCCCAGGCACTTTTGAGAAAGACCATTTGTTCCTGCAGTTTTCAGGCTTATAGATTAAGAACGCAGGGCCTGGAGAGGCAGAGTGGTTTGCTCTGGGTCAATCGGCAGGTGCTCAGAGATGCCACCCCAGCCCCTGTTGGCACAGTCAGAGCATAGGTGGGTGGGCTGAGGTCAGGCTGTCTCCCCTTCCCTTTGCCCTTGAGCTCTGACCTTGACTAGGCCCAGAGTAGGCAGCCTATCAGGCAGGGGATTCCTTATTCTGAGTCAAGTCGGGAGCTGGGTGGGACCCGACCTCAGGCTGATCCCCACCATGTGCTGGGCACCCATGTGTCCCTGACAGCTGTGGGAGGGTCTCACTCTCCCTGAGCACAGGTCCACGACCACGCGCCAACAAGGACAGCAACTGACTTCAGTCACCAGCTGGGAGGGGTGGTCTGCCCACTGGATGGGCTTGGCCACCACCCGTCCCACCTCCAGGAGGGACACTAGAGACTTTGACACAGAGAGGACATGGTCCTCACTCTCTCTGTCCATTTCCCCCTTTGCCGTCTGACTGCCGGAAGTCATTTGACCTGTATGTGGCTCACTTCGCTCCACAGGAAGACAGGGTGGGTGCTCCTGAGTCAGTGCCTGTGTGATAGGCAGTAAGTGGCCAGCCCAGTGCAGGTCTGAGCAGAAGGCCGTGAAAGGGAGCCCAGGCGGGGGTCGTGCAGGACCGGGGGCCACAGTGCCACATTTTCCCTGTTTCGGCTCCGCAGGCAGAGGAAGCTGAAGAGAGAGCTGGAGAGGCACCGGCCGTTTGCAGACTATCTGATGAAGGTCCTCGAGAGAATCCCCAAAGGTACGTGGCTTCGGAAAAGCCGGTCCCCTCCAGGCTGGGACACAGCGCGTGACCTCACTGAGCTCCAGTTGTCTGTCTTCAGCCTAGCAACATGCAGAGGTGACAGAATTGTGGCTGCGAAGGACAGAGGAGCCCAAGTCAGGCTGCCCGGTCCCTACTCCACCAGCCCTGACAACCTTGTGCCTCTGGGGGTCCTCGGGATCTTAATTTCTTTCTCCATAAACAAGCACAGTAGCTCTGGAGGCTGCATAAATGGATCCACCCTTGTGAGCACAGAGCATCTTGCCCGGCATTTAGCCCCAGGTAAACATCAGCCATGCTGATGATCGCAGTCACTTCTGTGTTCACAAGTTCAACCAACCTGGGATCGAAAATATGCAAAAAAAAAAAAAAAAAAAGTCTCTGTACAGAATAGGTTTTTTTTCTTCAACACCACCATGATATTGCGTTAGGCACTGTGAGTTGCAGAGAGTTGTTTAAAGTATGCGGGAGGTTATAAACTGCAAACCCTACACCATTTTATTGAGGGCTGAGCCTCCTTGGGCTGTGGAGTTTGGGGCTTGAGGGTGCTTGGGACCATGCCCACCCATACTGAGGGACAAATGTGTTTTGTTTGTCTTTGGTTTTGTGGTTTGTTTTGCTATTGTTAAATAAACACTAAAACTAGTGTTTTGTTTTGTTTGTCTTGTCATAATTTGTGCCAAAGTTGACCGTTAAAGGTGCATCTAACTTATGAGAAAAGTAAGAGGGAGACAAAAATGCATGTTTATTATCATCGTTGTTAGTTCAACATCATAAAAACAGAAATAATTATGCCAATTTATTAAATATTTAGTCTGTGCTAAACTCTTCAGCAATTTCTTTTCCTCTCATTCTTCCAAGCTTTGAGACACTGCTACCCGGACTCAGAGAGGGTAAGGAACTTTCCAGGGTCACCCAGCCAGGAGGCAGCGGGGCTGGGTCTCAGCTTCTGGTCTATTTGACCTCATAGCCACGGTGCTCAGTGCTATAAAGATCTTACTGCCAAGAGGATGCGGGAGCCTCAGCTCTGTCCTAGAGGTCGTGAGAGGCTTCGGAGAGAAGGTGACTTCTGAGCTTGACAAAGGGAAGGGTGTTGCAGGAGAGAGAAGAGCGCCCTGCCTGGCAGGTGCAGCGGGGTGGGCGAATGCGCTGGAGATGGCGGGGCTGCCGGGAGAGGCACTGGGGTCCACTTTGAGACCCGAGCCAGACAGCGCAGAGCCCCGCAGCACAGAGCGGGACTTGAAGTGGCTCTGCACCCAGTTTTGCCTTCCTGGTTTGGAACCTTCCTGACTCAGCCCTTCTGCCTTATTTGACCCATCCAGAAAGGTCACCAGCTACGCCCTTCTCTGGGGCTCGAGTCTGCTGCTGTCCTCTGGCATCTCCTGCCTCGCCTGCAGCCTAGGTCAGGAATCCGAGCTCTCAGCTGCAGCCAGATCCCTGTTTGATGTCCGTCTTCTTCTGGGGTGGGATGTGAGACAGTGGGCACTGTCTCGGAGTCAGCGGGCAGGGTTCTCGGCCCCCCAGCAGTTCCCAGACCCTCAGAGGACCCACCTCAGCCCGGTCCCCGCAGGCTGCAGCGGCGCGGAAGAGCCGGAGGCGGCTCAGCTGGAGGCCCTGGTACAGCGCTGTGTGAAGCTGCTGGTGGCCAGCGGGGACGCCCAGCAGCACCTGGACACCTTCTCCCAGATGAGCCAGGCCGTGCGCCAGGGACTGGAGTCTCTAGAGGACAGCCACAGGGTTCTCATGGCGGTGAGACGGATCCCCCGCCTCAGACTGCTGGGGACCCGGGGCCCCTTCCCTCTGCACTCAGGAAAGCTGCAGCAGGGGGAGTCCCGATCCCGCCCTATGTCCCCTCTTCTCCTTCCCTGGCTGACTGACTCTGCACAGTGGAAAAGCCAAGTTCTGAATTCATAAAGACTGAGGTTCTGGTCCCCTCTTGGCTACTGCCAGCTTAGAGGAATATGTGCGCTCTCTGAGCCTCAGTTTCCTCATCTGTGAAATGGCCACAATGCATCCTAGCTGTTTGTGTTCTTGTGAGAGTCCAAATAACTGTCTCACTGGCAGGCGTGCGGCACACAGCATAACCCCAGCTCCTCGGGGGCTGAGGAAGGAGGATCACAAGTTCTGGGCTAGTCTGGGCAACATAGTGAGACACTGTCTCAACATGAAATAAAAAGGGCTGGAGTCTGGCTCAGTGGTAGGAAGCTTCTTTTGCATGGGCAAAGCACTGGGTTAAATCCCCACAAGTGCAAAACACAAGAAAGCAACACACTGTCATGATGAATGCTCAGAAATCCCATAAGGTGTAGAACTTTTGTGGGGTACACATTCCATGTGGAGGGACAGGGTCTGCACAGCAAAGTCCTGGAATCCTAAGGACTGCGGTCACCGAACCAGGACCATTCACGACGTCTGGAGAGTTGCTGCCCCCTAGTGGCAAGGCTGCAGAACTTTTATGGCTTTTTTGGTTTTGGACAAGAGCCAGGTCTGCTGCTGGGCTGGGTCCTGTGAGATGCAGTTCAGGAGCTCATAACCTTTAAATCTGCAGTACTCAGAGGCAGGTGCTTTTATCCCCAGAGAAAGGAGAGATGAATGTGGTGACAGTGGCAGTGGAGGCAGGATCCCTTTCCTGAAAGCTTTGATGTTGCGCCCCCCCCCACCCCGTGAACTTCAATGACTTAAGAACGTTGCATAAAAGTATTATTTAACTGTTGAGTTTTGGGGATTCCTGTAGTTTTGCACCTGAGACTCAACCTTCCTATTGTTTCCACTTTTACGGTGAGGCAAGGAGACCTCAGAGAAGGGAGGCCGCCCGTGTTTGCCCCAATCCTTCCTCATTCACAGCCTGAAGTGTCCTCACAGCCCTGCTCCTGTGTCCCCCATGGTCCTGAGGCTGTATCCCCCAGCCTTCTGGCTTGGGCAGACCCCATCCTCCCTGCTCCAGGCCAGGGGAGCCCCTCCAGGCACCATCCTGCGTGCCTGGGATGACCAGCTCACTCTCCACAGTGCCTCAAGACTCGGCTGTGTCAGCTGCAGGAGAAGTGTCACAGCAAGCAGGGGCAGTGGCAGCAGCTGGAATCCAGCGTCACCCACCAGGACGACCCAGGCTTTGACGCCCATGCCCATGCTGGAGGCTACAGTGTGAGTCAAATGCTACATAGAGGGTCTGGTTAGTAATGAAAAGATGTCAGGGCGGTAGGCAAGTGGCTTGCACTGCCTTTGGTGACTCTGGCGAGCTGGCTGTGTGGAGCACAGGGCCATCCTGCCCCTCGGGGCCAAGATTTCCAGATTCAGCTCTTCACTGCCCCTACTGGCCAAGGAAGGGGTCTGGTCCTCCCAGAGCCCCAGTTTCCTCACCAGAGCCTGTGCCCTTTGGTCTTGGGGACTGCTGGGGACTCTTGAGACCAAGGCCCAGGGCCAGAATTTACAACTGGCGCCCTCCACAGGGCAGGGTACTGTCACTGAGTGACTGCATGACCTTCCTGGGCTCAGTGGGATCTGGCCCAGTGGGATACAAGAGGGGTGAGGGCTGCTGATCTCCAGCCAAGGGACCTCCAGGGGATCTGGTCTTTCTTCCCAAACTGAGAGGCAAGGCTGCCACAACTTGCTCTCAGGCCATGACTTTGAAAGCCTGAACTCTGGGGCTGAGGTGCTGCCTGGAAGGAGGACCATGTTCCTCCAAAATCTCACTCCCTGCCCCACTCTGGAGAGGCCCACAAATGTCCCCAGCCAAGAGGACCCTCGGAGATGTGTTCACCCAGCTTCTCTCTTAGCAGGGGAGGGTGCCCAGCCTCTTCCAAGTCCCGGGAGCAGAATACAGACTGGATAGGACTGAGGCCCCTGGCCCTGAATGTTTCCCCGGCCTGTGTGAGCTGGGGACAGGACGTGGTGGCTGCTGGGAGGGACCTGAGCCTTTGTCCTCATGCAGGGCCAGCTGCTCAGCTACTTGCAAGTGGCCATCAACAACATGGCCCAGCAGTGTCACCCCAGGGCCCAGGGCGTCCCCACAAGCTTGGGCCTCTTCTCCAAGCTGGACCTAATTCAGGTGAGATGGGCTGGCAGCCATGGGGCTCCCTCCCCACCGGACCACAGACTGAGCTCACCCTGGGCTCTGACCCACACCACTCCTCTTTCCAAGAGTGGTGTCAGAGAGTCCCCCACATCTGGCACAGCAGGCCTCTGGGTGAGCATCTGCCGTCACTCATCAGGCGCTGGCCAGGTCGGCCACCTGCACTCAGCATTGTTCTGGTGAAAAGTTGGAGCTGGGGTGAGGCAAAGGCTTAAATGCATGGCCCTCAGACAGGGCGGCTGGGCACAGTCAGGCTGCAGGATTCTCGGAGGAAGCAGAGAGAAGAGGCTGCCGGACACGTGCAGAAGGTCACAGAAAGATCCAAGCATTTGGACACCTCGTCACCTGCTTTTCCCACTCCTAGGCCGGATAATTTCAGACAAGTCACTTGCCTCTCTGAGCCTCAATTTGCCCATTTGTGGGCCCCTTGTGAGAGTTGGGGGAGACGCAGGCCAAGCTTTGATGGTGCTTTGTTCCCTGGGAAGCGGCATGCAGGGCCTCAGCACTGTCGGTGAGAGACAGTTCCTCCACAGACATTTATACTGGACAAGATGGAGACCATGAGGATGATCTCGCTGCTCACAGAACCCAGGCTGTGCTGGGCCAGAGACAGTCTTGAGGACAAGAGCCCGAGAAGGCAGCCCAGGCCCTTCAGGAAGTGGCCAAGGAGCTGAGCCATGACCCCCAGGACCCCTCTTCCCAGCGGCCAGGCTTCAGAGAGCTCCAGCCTGTCCTGTCGGCCCCACCTTCCAGGCCAAGGCATCACGACCCTGGTGGCACCTTACCTGCTTGGCCTCCTCTTCTTGTCACTCCAGGGGCAGCGAGAGGGCAGGTGCAGCACCATGCTGGGGACAGCAGGGCTCGAGGTTAGGCTGCTGGGTGGGGGGTGACAGCAGAGGGACAGGAAGCCCAGGTTGGCACCTGCTCATAGGAGAGCCAGGGCTGCATTCCCACCTGTCACTGGGGACCTGGGATGGAGGCACCGTTGGGGACCCTGGGAGCTTGCTGGGTGGCTGGGGGGTGTCCTCAGTGGTTCCTGGAAGCTGAATACCAGGTCATAGCCTTCTGCTCACCCAGGGACTCCAAGCAGCTTGGAAATAAAGGCACCCTCAGGAGCCCTGGCAAAGCCCTCCCTGGGCAATTTCCTCCCTGTCAGACTGGGTGAGAGGAAGTCTGAGGAGCCCAGCCCCTGCCTGACCATTCCTAAGTCAAGGCTGGGGACATTTGAAAATCATCCCACAACCACTAGCAACCAGGGACCCAAAACAATTCGGTAACTTACGTAGGTGAAGACTTCGAGGTAAGAGCGGCTGATGAACTGCAAACAGTGGTAAATCGGCAAATTACCTCTCAAAGGTGTGGCAGTGAATGCTTGTAATCCGAACACTTGAGAGGCTGAGGCAGGAGAACTGCTGCTGTTGAGGCCAGCCTGGGCTACATAGTGAATTCAAGGCCAACCTAATATACATAGCAAGACCCTGTGTCCAAAAACAAAGGGCCAGGGATGTAGCTTAGTACTAAGGCCCTGGGCTCAGTTCCCCGTGCTGATATTAAGTCCACAAACACTGGGGTGGACCCCGTTCCAAGTGCTGGGGGAAGGGAGGGGCAGAGGGAGCAAAGCAGGGTTTGCGCAAAAGGAACTGGCCACTGGCTTCACTGCGATACTCAAACATAGTCAAGGAGGCTCAGTGGGGTCGGGTCTTGCTAGTACTTTAAAGAAGGAATCAAGGAGGACACCACTGATCTGAGTTCCTGGTGTCTTGGGTATGTGGAGAAGTCAAGACATGGAGCAGGAGCAGCAGGCTTTGTCTGTAACTTGCACCTGGATGGGGCCAGTGCTCAGGTGCTCAGCAGCTCAGCACTGGATGAATGAAGGCCTGGGAGTGAATAAGGGAGGTTTCTGATGGTGGCCCCCCAGGGTCAACTTCCTGCTGGGTGCCAGAGACCCGCCCCTTGACACGTTGTTCCCATAACCCAAGCACCAGGAAGCACAGGTTTCCTAGTCTCCATTTCTGAGAGGAAGCTGAGGCCCTGTGAGGCCAGGTGGCTTGACCAGGTCACACAGCCATGGAGAGGTGGGTTGGGATGAGAACTCAGGTGCAGAAGACTGGAGCTGAACACCGTCCCCATTAAAGACCCTGGTGAACAAGGGGTACAGTATCCTGGGTGCCTGGAGGCAGCATCCTGGCTCGCATTCAGGCCTGGGTGGCAGCTCCCAGGCAGAGGCTTCTCCGGGTCTCTGCTACTCCACATGCGGCTGCGAACCCACACCAGACACCGACCGAGGGCCTGGAAGAAAGGCACAAGATGCCAGGCAGCCTGTGTGCCCCCTCAGCCTGAGAGCGCCACTCTGAGCCTAGCTGGGAGGAAGGGACCCTTGAAGACGGCAGGTCACACGCACTGTGGTGACAACAGCTGTTTCCTCAGCACACCTGCCTACTGCGGGCATTGCTTTGTGGTCTGGATTTTTATCGCCCCACCTTGAATTCTCAGAGGTTTATCTTAACCACATTTCCCAGCACCCAGGTGGCAGCCTGGCACAGAACAGGTCCTCTAAACATGTGCCGGTGAGCACTTTGTTACATCCTTAGAGTAAATGATGAATTCATGCATGCATGAATGAATGAAAGTTGTAAGCAAAGGAGCGACTCTAAGTGGAAATTTTAAGGAAAGGAGAAGAGCCAAAAGTGAGAGCCATTTGGCAGAGGGCACGGAAGACGCCTGGCCAGCGCCTGACCCTTGGTCACGCAAGTCCCATGCCCAGGTGGGGTGGACACCTGGGGCCACACCCCTCCCAGAGTAAGCTGCTCCCCGGCAGCCCTGAAGATGAGCCTTACTATGCCACCCATGGGTGTGGGTTCAGGCATTATCCAGGGAATCACTGGGGGAAGAGCTCCCTGTGTCCCAGCAACATAGCATCGTAAATGACAGGGGAGCAGGGACCTCAGGACCCAGGCCTAGTGTGGCACCGGCTCCTGGGAGCAAGCAGACTTCACTCCGGGACCCATGGGGTCCTTTCCAGCCCCTTGGTGGGATGGGAAGGCCCTGAGATGCAGTTGCAAATGTGTGAATCCATACCGCTCAGATTCTGTGTGGTACAAGATCATCCACGGGCCTGAATTCTCAGCCATGCTGGGAATGCATTTGGGAAGGATCTGACTCAGAGTAAGGTCTCAGGCTATCTGTAAGACTGATGGGTAGGGACCTGGCCTGGTGGGTGCATAATCCCAGCACTCAGGAGGCTGAAGCAGGAGGATCGTAAGCTCAAGGACGGCCTGAACAATTGTGGGAGACTCTGTCTCAAAAACAGCAGCGAAATGAAAAAGCAAAACAGAATTGGCAGAAAGACTAGATCGACTCTTATTTTTTTCTTTCTCTTTCTTTCCTTCACGAAGAGTAGGGTAGTACATTGAGAAAGTTGTCCAGAAGTTGATTTAAGATCATAGCACAATGTGAACTGTGCAATCGTGTCCCTCACTGGATATGGTAGAGCAAGAGAGACCACCGTGGGGTTGTTTATTTCTGCACTGCTTGGTTTTAATTTTCCCATTTCCGTGGTCTCACCTGAGAAATGATCTACTTGGAAGAGGAACTCCTGAATTCTCCTGCAGCTAACGGTGAAAAGCGGAGGGAGTGCTCCAAGTCTGCCTGAGAGAAGCAAGGTCTTTCAACGGCAGCTGAAACTGATGCCGTGGCTCAGAGAGGCACAGACATTTGCTCAAGGTTGCACAGCAAAATGTGGCAGAGCTCAATGCTAGCTGCCCTCAAGTTCGAGGTGGTTTTCCTGTCAAAGCCTCTCAGACTTTCTCCAAACATCCCAGTGGTGGAGGAGAGTGAACTCGACCTTTCGGAGGCCCGAGGGGAAGCTCATATTCTTTTTTTTTTTTTTCAGCTTTAATTGAGTTTATTGGTACATTTTAGGGATACAGTACAGTTACATTCATTGTTGGGATCTTGTATCTCTACATGACAAGTCTTGATTCTCATTTTTTCCCCTTACCCCTGCCCTCCCTTCACCCCCTCCTCCCCTCCCCATCTACAGACACTTTATTTTCATCTTTTCATTATCTCACATTTTTTTCTTTTCTCTTATTACCCTTCCCCTACCCATCCCACCTTCCCTACACCTTTAGCTCCTTTCTTCGAGGGAAGCTCATATTTCCTAGCAGAAGTCTTTGATGAAACAGACGAACCAGGAAGTGCTTTGTTTCTGCTGCTCTCAGTTTGGCCTTGACCTCGGCAGCGGAGAACGCGCACCACACCGCTTCCGTTATCTGCAAACCCAGCCGCATTGGAAGAAGACCCCCGCCTCCCCGCCTGCTCCACCACAGCGTCCCGGGAGGGTTTCTGGGGTAGCCGGGCCCTGCCTGTTCCGCCTTCCCAGCTCTGGGAACTGGGATTCGGCCCCTCGCTGGCACTGTGCTTGGCTCAGGCTGAGGCTGCGCTGTCCCGGTGCCCGGCTCCCCCTGGTGGTCAGGTGTGTCCTGTGCGGCACCCTAGGCCCTCCCTGCATCCATCTGGCCGGCAGGGGCAGTCTGTGCTTCATCTCTGCCTCCCACCCTAGCCCTAATTCTCATCTCTGGCCTGGACCCCGGCTGGACTTGGGCTCCCACCCTAGTCCTCTCAACCCATTGTCAGAGCAGCCGGACACATCTCTCAAGACGTCTTGTCCACCCTGCCTCTGGCCCCTCCCATAGCTCCCTGTCACCCTTAAATCAAACCCTTTCCCAGTGCCTGTGTGATCTAGCCCTGGCCACCTCGCCAGCCTGACCTGAAGCTGTCACCTCCTTTCTTGTGCTCCAGCGAAACTGGCCCCTCGCAGGTCCCAGGGCTTTTGTCACTTAGCCTTTGCTCGCTTCTACTGTGCATTTTTATGAGCATCTCCTACGTGCCAGGTACTGAGCTAGATACTTAGGTGCTGGGTGACTTAGTCCTTGACCCCCAGGGCTGGTGCCATTCACCAGCCCTGAATAGTGAAAAATGCTAAAAGGGAAGGGGCAAAGCTCTAGGAACAAGACCCCGGGGTGGGGACGGGGAGGAGGCCTCCTGGAACCCATTCTGCAGGCCTCAGCTGGCACTTCGCCTCTCTGACAGCCCCCTGCCCCCACCCAGAGGAGCCAGGGCCTGGGTGTCTGCACCCACAGCACCCTGACCCCTTCCTGCCCAGCGCTCGCCATACTTTGCATTTAGGCCTTGGTTTGTGCAACTGTAGCAGTGGGTTTGTGCATCCACGCTGCCTGTGCAGGGCTTGGGAGAGCAACTGGAGCTACTTCCTTGGCACAGACGTGGGAGATGTGGTCTCACAAACCCCACACACAGAGGAGTAAACTGAGGCTGGCAGTGAGGGAGGCTGCATTAATGACCCCATGCTGCACCATGAGGTGGCCAGAGGTGAGCAGGAAGAGGGACCACATCTCCTCCTATTACTGTTTGGAGGCACCTGGCCAACTCAGCCAGTCCCCAGCTCAGATTCCCTCCACAGCGCTAGGACTGTGGTCCCCTAAAGGCTTGGCTGGGGGACAGTGGGCTGTCGGCAGGGCCACCTCGGGCCTCGCTCAGGTCTGTGCTCCGTGAGCATCTCCCCCAGCTCCTGCCTGGGGTTCTGCTCACTACTTCATGGCCAGGAATGGAGCTGGAGAGGCCAAGCAGGACAGAGCCACCAGCATTTGGCGAGTGGCTCTCGGAGGTGACACGCCGTCCCTTGGCTACATTGCTAGTGACGCGGGTGCCCCTCTGATGAGGGAGGACTCAGTCCTTTCCCCATTGGGCTTCACAGGGCCAAGCAGGAAACCAAGTTTGAGTGTCAACAACACCGGCTTCGTCCAGCGTGCAAACCCAAAGACGGAGAAGCAGGAGCCCAGCCCAGCACGGCCCAGAAGTTGGGAGGGATGCTCATCCATGAGAGGGCCGGTGTTTTCCAGGAGCCCGGCTGACTGACTGCTCTCCTGATAAGGTCCTTCCTGGTTGTTTCCAGGGGAAGGTAAACTGTCAGAGTGCTGGTGCATGGAGATCAGATGCTACTGGAGCCGTTTGGGCTGCCCTGGTGGCCCAGGTTGGTGCCAGTGATTACTACGAAGCCCCTTCCTGTTAAAGATAAGCATGCCTGGGGCACAGTGGAGAAGGCAGGTTATCACAGCGGGTGGTGTAGATACTGAACTGGGGGACAGCTGTCCCATGTTGGTAAGAAGCAGGTCCCTGGGTCCAGCTCGCCCTTCAGAGCTTGGCGTAGGTAGGAGGAGGTTCTTTGAAATGCCCAAGGGCCAGGATGCCCCTGGACGCCTTCAGGAGCTGGGCCCTGTTCCACCACAGAGAAGCCCTGGTGGGTCAGGAACAGGCACCTCCTCTGGCCTTGGCTAGATGGCTTTGGCCACACTGAACGCTCCCCCTTTTTTCTGCCCAGTGCTGGAGGCTGTGTGAAGGGCACAGCCCTTGCCGTGGAAACTCAAGGCATGTTGGCTCTCAGGAGCCAGCCCTAGGCAACCCACAGTGGGTGCTGGCCGGAGAACAGGCCATTATCTTTCCGGAGCCACAGAATGTTTTAACCCAAAAGGGAGCCCTGATGAAGTGCTAGCCACCTTGACACTCCTGCAGATTCTCTTGCCTCACCTCTGGAACCCAGAGCAGCTGCTTGTGTGCCAGCTTTCCAGAAGTCCCTTTTCCTTTTACTTCTCCCACAAATGGACTCCCACCTCAGGTAGCTGGAAAATTAAGTCTCAGTCATTTGGGGGGCTCCTTCCCCATCTTCCCTCTCTGCTGGGGTTGTGTCCTGGGCCCCTTCTTCAGGGCAGAAAAGTAGGCATTGACTGAGTGCCCCGCTTTGCAGTTAGGCATTGATTTGTGCAACTTTAGAGGTGGGGGGGGGTGTCACTACTGTCGCATTCGATGCCTGTCCTGAGCCCTGTCTGGAAGGGAGGGGCAGTCTAGTGGCAGCACAGGCCTCTCCTCTGAGGTTCCAGCAGGTGACACGGGAGTCGCCTTTCTTCTGACAGCCCACTTCACCCTTCCCTTCCGGAAAGGTCTCTGCTTGAGCTGGTTCAACCCTCAACCCTCCAGGTCCCCAGGCCCCAGAAAGGTCTTTTCTCAAAAACGAAATGTCGCCGGGTGTGGTGGCGCACACCTGTAATCCCAGCATTTGGGAGGCTGAGGCAGGAGGATTGCTGTGAGTTCAAGACCAGCCTGGGCTACATAGTGAGTTCCAGGTCAGTCTCAACTACATAGTGAGACCCTGTCTCAAAAACAAACAAACAAACAAAAAAA